ATTTAGGACCCTGAATTGATTCAGTGGTAACAAAAATAACAAATGCTGTAGAGAATAAACACAAAAACATTGTTTGCCTTAAAAAAAATTCACAGCATTAATTCCCCAGCAGGATAAGCACTTCAGTCTCGGCAGGGTGTCGACGGACATTTCCAGTGGGGAGAAGAATGGATGCCGCCTAGAGGAATCAAACATATGTTCGAAGTTAGGAAGTCAACCGGGCACAAAGTTGGTTACCATTTTGTTTTGTATGCAGGTGGGCTTTTAAGGATTATTATCACAAAATTTATTACAGAGTTGTTTGGATTGGGTAGAGAAAGTGGCCAATATCATTTTAGGAGAATGATAGCAGTATTAATTCAACTCACTACCAACACCTAGTTGACTGAGACTCACGGTGACTCCATATTATAGTGTAGAAATACCTGTGTGAGTTTCTGAGGCTGTGAATCTTTATGGGAGATGAAAACCTCATTTTTCTCCTCCAAGGAGATTGGAGTCACTGGTAGGTTTGAACTGCTGACTTTGTGGTTAACAGCTGAATGCTTTACCCCCTGTGCCGCAGTATTAGAATAATAAAATTGAGTGGGAGAAATGATCTCTGTGTATATGTATCTGTATATTAGATGCAATATTACTCTACCTGGTTGCTGTCCTACTTGAGCATAGATTTTAAAAATATATTTTAAAATTCCATAGTTGGTCTGTAAGAGATTTTGACTAATAAAACAGCTATTATGGATAACGAACATGACACCCAGAGCATCTCTTTAATTTTTTAATTTTCTTCACAACAGTGTTTATAGCAGCATGGTTATCATCTATTGTTATTATGATCAATTTGTTCTCTTGGCTCTATCTTCCTGCTGAATAATTGGCTATAGCAGATTAGTTATAAAAGAGATACATCTGTTATATGGCTTCTTATGGGTGTCCATAATGTTAAATCTCATTTTATATCTAAAAACACAATCACAGAAAATAAATTAATTTCCAGAATGTCTTAGGGAAGTATTATATATTTTCTCCTAACAGGTTTTGTGTTTGGTTTGCTTTTTTATCTTTCTCGTATTACACATGGCGAAGAGAAAGTTCCAAATCTAATTCATTTTACCACGATCCTGACATTTTCCAACTGTCTCATAAATTTGCAACATTTGTTGAAAGAGAGAAGAGTAGAGCAAAATGTGCCACTCGTGCTGAAGAAAATGGGCCTGTGGTAATGAGGGTGCTTTCTTCAAAGGCAAAACGAGTGCTGCAGATCCCACATCATAATCGTACCAGTTCACAGCGACTGAGTGCCCCCGGTTTGGCAGTGTCTGCGCTGCAGGGTCTGTCCGTGCTCACTCTCGTCCCAGTCTTATGATTCATGGGGAGGAGGATTGTTATTATTCCCACTTTATCAATGTGAGGGGGAAACATTGGTCGTAGGGAAGCCTATTTTGGTCACAACCCATTTGCTAGTAAGTGGATTTGGAAGGACCGAACACTAGTTCTCTGAGGCTTGCTCCACTTCACAGGTGAGGAGCATTTCGTTTAAAGCGGGCTGCAGAATTTGGTTAAACACCAACCCCTAACACCCACCCAATAGACTCACAGGGGACAGACCTGGAGATCAATCTCCCAAAGATGGCAGCCTGGAAAGCCTATGGGGCAGTTCTACCTTGTCACGTGTGGCCCCTGGAAAAACAAAGCCAAGTCCACTGCCAGCAAGTCCATTCTAACCCATATGACCCCACAGGACAGAGGACAACTGCTCCCTTGTGTTTCTGAGGCCTCCAGTCTGGCCGGGAGCAGACAGCCTCCTCGTTCCCATGTTACAGCTGGTGGAGTCCGACTGCTGACCTTACAGTTTGACCCCCAGTGTGTTACCCACTTGGCCACTAGACTGAAAAAACTGACTCCTTGAACCCTAGCAACAGCGGCAACCTAGATTCACAAAACCACCACCAGCAAAGCATTTCTGAAATTTGTGGTATTGAGGTAAGGTGACCAGATTTAAGCGGGACATCATTGACGGGGGAGCGGTGGGGGGGTGGGGTTGTTCTTGGTTAAAAATTTGGTCTATATGGATCAAATAGACCATTCCCTAGCTTGTCATGCGTTCTTTCCAAAAATCGGGACTTTTTTAAAACCGCCAAAAATCGGGACTGTCCCGCGAAAAGCGGGCCATCTGGTCACCTTAATTGAGGCTCCATCCGTATATTTTACCAAGAGTTTACTTTTAAATGAAAGGAGAAGTCAAGATGCAAAGCAGCTCACCTTGTTGAAAATCATGTTGTCATATGAATTATCATCGATAAGCTGAAGAAAACAAATAGAAATGGAGACAGTGTGCCTTCATCTCTTAGAAAATTGGGTTCAACCCCACACTAGAATTACAGTGTTTTATTCTTTGAATAATATTTGATCATATAGTTGGGTGAATATTTACATAAGGAATTAGGGCCCTTTTAACATTTTCTATACAAATTGCTCGGTGACAGTAGTTCCATTTCTTATGAGGCGTCAACATTCCCTTTCATTGTGTCTTGTCAGTCCATTCCATGTGTTCAAGTTTCCCTTCCGAGTTAATTGTTGAACTTTTGTTCTTATGTAGGTGCTGGCTTTAAAATGTTTGTTTTAGTTTATTTTGTTTTGAATAGAACATCTTACTAGGGAGTAATGCCCTTTATTGTATGGGTTGGGTTCCTTTGCTATCTCACTAAAAGGTGCCCTGAAAGATAGCTTCAGTTCAAGGTGGAGAGTGTATCTCAGAGCTAAGTTTCAGGGAGTCCTCTAGTCTCAAGTGGCCCATGAAACCTAGACATTTTCAGATTTTGAGTTCTGTTCTGCATTCCCACCCGCACCTTCACCCCCACCCCCACCCATTTTACTATTTTACTAGAGTTCACCTGTTGTGTCCATCTGGGACCTGTTATGTACCAGCCTGGTGAGCTAGAGTAGTGTCTGGGCACCATCTAGTTCTTCTGGTCTCAGGGTAAATGAGAGCGTGGCTTGTGTAGGCTATTAGACTTGGTGTCTTTTTCTCTCGTTTGCTCCTGATGAGTAGCAACCAATTGCTTTATCGTAGCTGGTGGCTCACCAGCTTCTAACACTCCAGACATTGTTCAGAACATGGGCTCTGTGAAATTTTTATGCTAATTGACTGAGTGTGAAATTTTTATGCTAATTGACTGAGCTGTCTGACGGGTCCTAAGCCTTCAGACCCAGAAAGCCAATCTCACAAGGTGTTTGATTATGTCTGAGAATTATATGTAACTCTCTTCTCTGTGCCAGTGAGTTTGGTTTTGGTTTTAGTGTCCTACATGCCTCTACATATATGTATATAACCATGAACTCATGCTTAGAATTTATACATTTCTTATGGTAATTTTTCTATTGTAGTAAGAGAAGTGTTTTTGATTTATGTCTGTGTGTATATATGTGTGCTAGACAAAGAGCCTGGTGTCATTTAAAACTTGGTATCTCTTGGTATTTGAAGTAACATTATGTTTGCCTTACATGCCATCTCCAGGTCAATAGCTCACTCCTCCTGGGAGAAAAGCAAACCACATTCTGTTTGCCAGCAGGTGTATTTTTGCAACATAACTTTGGGTTTATGTTAAAGGGAACCATGCGGTGGTTTAGACCGCACCTACTTGTTACACTGAGCATGCTTTTAAAGATATGCCTTCATCACTTCTACAGAAAATGTAATTTAAGACTTTGAGCTGTCACTCAGTAGCAGCTGTCACCATTTCTATCCCCATCTTGTCACTTGGATGTTCTCTGTTTAATAACAATATTTTTTTTAAAAGGCGAGGTGCTAAGTGATTCCTTAGACCGTCATTTCATGAACACTGTCACGGCTGTGTCACGAATGTTAAATCAAGTCTGTTAGATAATAAGCTGCCATCAGGTGTTGGCTTGTGCTCCTTCATGATGTACAAGGGAATTTTATGAATGGTACGTCACAGCGCTGCATGCATTCGTATGCACAGACTGGTCGTTAATGTTTTAAGTGGACACCAGTGAATCTAGAACACTCGCTGTGAGTCAGGAAGCCATGCATCGTGTTCAAGGATATTGCCTCTCCTCAATGATAGGATTTTCTTCTCCTTTGAAAGAGTGTTTAATTGCACTACACATCCACCTTTAATATTTGATAAGAATTTCACCAGCTGCATAGCATGAGAGGGGCAAGATTTGTAATATCTCGTGCTAGTCATCCATTTCTTTTTCTTCTCTTGACTTAATGAATATTGTAATTACAAGGAGAGGCAGAAATATAAATGACTGTAGCTTGGCGGTTGGTTGGAACTTGCTGGCTTATTGGTTTCAGCTTGGGCAAGCCCAGAGTGGGCACAAGGATGCTAAGGCAAAGGTCTCAGGGTGTTTGACAAGCCCTGGCACAACATTCTGACAACCTACCAGGTACTCCTCGTTTTGAAATAATGAACACCAAGGCATTGCCTACAGTTAGAAACACCACAGAATAGCCATTCCCACCGGTTCCCTGGCAGTAGACAGGGAGTCTTGACAGCTTACAAAACTTAGTGCCGGCAGGTCCACGTACCTCGAATCTCTATTAATGTGACTCAACTGCTTTCCCCCCATCTTCTCTTAAACCTTCCCACCGTTATGTGCTTGCAGCTGGAAGAAAACACCCTGACAAAGCACGGCTTATTTCAAGTGGGAAAACATAACGTAGCCGTCATTCAAACAGCACTTTTTGCTTAAGCAACACCTCCCACCTGAGGTTTTCAGTTGCACCTGTGAACGCATTTCATCAGCCCTGAGAGATGGAGGTCAGGGGAAAGGGTCCTTCGTAGACACTGTCCCTGTAAAGCCGTGGAGAGAACACAGTGTTCATCTGTAATGATCTAGATAAAGATGTGTGTACGGAATGGCTTCTCGGTTCTGTGTGCCATTTGTTTTCAAATGAAACTGGGTATTGTTGAATTTAATGTTTTATTTCCAGCCGAGTTTCAAACACATCATTTTTTAACTCCCTCCAGCAACTGCTTCGAGAACGACAGCAGATGGCCAGCCGTCCCTTCGCTTCTGTTGACGTAGCACTGGACGTAGGAGCGGAGCAGACAGACTTTCTGCGAGGCCCATTAGAGGTAGGAAGACCAGTGTTGAAAGGGCGCCTTTGTGGTTTGCATATTTATATTGCTGTCTCTCATCTGCCTCTGAAGCCAAACATGGTCTGATTATCTGGAGCTGACAAGATGCAGCTACATTGTTATGCCATTTTCAAGGCACTTTGTTTTAATAGTATGACATGAGCTGTAGCAAATGCCACTGGAGGATCTCTTAGCCTCGGCGAGAGTGACAGAATGCTCACCTGGCCGACAGCCTTTCCCTGACAGGGAGGAGCTGGAGGGATTTAAGATGTAGGCGAAAGTGAGAAACAAAGGTCCTCAGGTTAGCCCCCCAGTACTTAGTGCCCTCTCATTAACAATTCACATTTATATTTATTAGCAAAGCATGCTTTAAAAGATGGGTGGGGATCGGTTGCATGTTAATTACACAGTTTCCCTTTTTTGAGTGTTAACTAGTGCCAACTGTGGTGGGTATTTTCATTTGTGATGAATGGCTGTGGTGCTCCATTGTTTTATTTCAAGTGCAGAAATAGAATGCAGTGGAACAAACGGACAGGGGCAAGTTCCTGTAGTCGTAGAATGCTGGAGCAATGCCTGAAATGGTTGCTGGGAATTAGAACTCCCAAAGAGGAAAATTCACGGGTTGTGATTAATGACTAATCGAAGCTTTTCTGATGCAGAGTAATTTAATTGTGTGCTTCTTTTTATTTATTTTTGAGAAGGAAGATTAAGAAACTTTATATAATTGAATTGTTGTATTCTCTTAAAGAAAAAACAAACCAAACAAACTAAAAATGCCCCCTTTACATTCCTTTTTGTGTTGCTACTTTCTAATTCTGCTTCTCTTTAAAGAGAGCGGGGATACGTACACAGATTTATCTTGGTCATCTCCAAGTCCTGGGTACAAATGTAATTGATTGTGTCCATTGCATTTTGGGTTATTCTGAAAAAAAATAAAACCAAATCAGACCTCATGAATAACCATATAAAGAGCAAGATTTTAGAGACTGGTTTCCCTCTGATTTTTAAAATTTTTTTTTTAACTTTTGTGGATTTGATTTCTTAATACTTAGGTCACAGCTTGCCTCGGGAAGCTCACTTATTAGGACTTAGAAGAGAGACAGCATGATTAAATAAAAGCCCAAACAAAATGCTTTCACTTCCTTTTGGTCCCCGGTTTCAAGTCACTGTTACGAAACCTTTAACAAACAGCCTGCCCGAACTGTTTGAATTCAATTTCGTTTTTTCTCCCATCGATCTTCTGTATTCTCTAGAGGAGCAAAACCAGTGAAGCAAATATGTAAATATATACAAAGAGATTTACTGCAAACGAATGACTCACATAATTGTGGGGGCTGGCAAGTCTCAAATTCATGGGTCAGAGTAGGCTGAAGGCTTGCAGGGCTGATGAACCCAAAACCTACAGGTCAGGTGTCAGGCTGAAGGCTTTTGGTGACTCATGAAAAGCATGCAGGATCAAGAAACACCTTTGGCAGGGCATCTCGGTATATATTCGTGGGAAGAAACTCCCCCATTCAGCTGATTGACTGCTCACGTCAGGGCACAAAATGTAATGTGATCACAGTGCCTGCCAAACCACTGAAAATCAAAGCCCAGCCAAGTTGGCACCTGTCATTCACCATCACGCCAGCTGATGAAAACATTCCCAAATATTGCTGAACAATACATACATAGGCCAGCAGACAACAGAAATAATCACAGAACTAGGAAACTCATCCACTTAAATGAACCCATATAATGAATATGCATATGTCTTATCAGGGTTTGATAGCGGGCCCTTGATTGTGTTTAGTTGACGGTAAATGTGAAGGTTTATTTCTAAACTCTTGAATCTGTTCCATTGATCAGCCAATCTTTTTCTTATTCCAGTGCCACACTGTTTTGAGGACTATAGCTTTGTAATGGATTTTTGGAATTGGAAAGTGTGAATCAACCAGCTTTCTTTTCTTTTTAAAGATTGTTTGGCTGTTCTGGGTCCCTTGATTTTCCATTTCAATTTTAGGGTCAGCTTTCAATTTTTATGTATGAGTTTTATGTTGAATTTATCTATCAAATGGGCAATATATCATGTGATAGTAAGTGATTGTTTTGTTTAGCTGAGATATTTTAGGGCTTGATGTGTAAAATCTCAAACTCAGTAACTGATTTTTTTTTAATCTCAGTAAGTACTTATAATTTATGATATTGGGAATTCTTATGGTCATAAGTCCAGTTATCTCAAGTAAATATGCAAATTAAAAATTAATCAGTTGAATCATTAGATCTCTAGAGCTTTTATTGGTTGACTATTGTTAAAATTAAGCATCAGAAGTAAATCTCAGCTATAAACTATTCTTCATTGTACATCCTTTAAAAATAATAAATATAGAAGATAAAGTTATAAAAGCATATGTGTATTTTATTTTCCTCTTTTGCTAAGAAATTTGTAGTAATCAGTGCTAATTAGAAGTTATCTATCTAATGTACTGCACATGCAAACACATCTATGCATACATGTGTCTGCAAGGGTTTTTCCCCTGTTACTATATTTCCCTGAAAACTGCTCCAAATTGCTCCTCTTTTATACACAGTGTGGCCTATTGATTTGCTTACATTGCAAATTCTGGAACCAGGCATATTCTGAAATTGCATTAAGAGTTTTATTTAAATCTGAAACTCAGAGTGATGTTAGGGTTCCTCTGCGAGGTTTTACTTAAAATGCAGTGTTTAAATTTAATGCAAAACCATAGTTTAGCTGGCTATTTCTGTTGTATAAATTTGTATCGAATACTCATAATGTGCTAAGGAGTGAATTTCTTTTAAATTAAATTAGACTCTTACATGTTGCTCTGAGTTTCACAGCTGTATAGTCCAGAGGGTGTGGGATTTAAAGTGCAGAATGAGAAGAATCACTTTTGATGCTTCTGTAAAGAGCCCTGGTGGCACATTAGGATACGCAGCACAAGGTTAGCAGTTCAATCCCACCATCTGCTTGCTCCTCAGGAGCATAATGAGGCTGTCTGCTCCCGTAAAGTGTTAAACTCTTGGAAGCCCAGAAAGAGTGTGTGTGTGTGTGTGTGTGTGTGTGTTTTGGGGGGGGGGCATTGGGAGGAGGCATGGGGTTGAGTAGTGGGCACATTCTAGACCCTGTAAGAATTTTGACATTGAACTTTAGGTGAAGAGAGTCCTTCGCACAGTTCAGAGAGAAGACTGTTATGGTCTGACTTTGCTTTTAAAAGCATCCTCTTGCCCCTGACTTGAGAGTAGTTTGAACCAGGATGTCTTCCGTTGGTTTCCCTCCAGAGCAGACCCCAGGACAAGGACATTCTGTTATCTGTGTACACTGGGAGGGGAGTGGCTCCACCAGAAAAGGAATGATGAATTGTGATGAGACATCACTGTGGATAATCGCTCACTAGGAGAGAGTCAGTGCCGACTCCTCTCGGCTCCCTGTGGGTATCTGAAGCTGTGCTTGCTTACAGGAGTAGAAATCCCAGTCTTTCTCCAGAGAGTTGTTGGTGGTTTTGAACTGCCGGCCATGCAGCAGCCCTACACATAACCACTACACCACCAGGGCTCAACTCACTGTGGGCAAATAGGGCTTAATCCCAGTGGAGAAATGGAGCCAGGGAAACGTATACCTCTCAGAGTACTCAAATCCCTCCAGTCACTGGTTGGGGGCGGTTCCCTGCACCTGAGAAAGCACACGAGCAAAGAAAGACAGGTTCCAGCATCAAGGACTCAAGCAGGTCCCCTGACCTCGGTTCGTGTGAGGGGTGTAGAAATCAGCTAAGCAGTTTCTGTTCCTAGAACAAGGCTAGAAGCCGAAAGACTCACTGGGAGTTGCAGGCAGTGGCCCAGGCAGTAGATCATGGCGGCACAATCTGGGCGATACAAGTGGAGACAAGGAGAAGCGGTTAGATTGTGGAGTGTCAATCTAATGGCCTGATCAGTCTGTCCAGTGGGCTCATTTTCAGTCTTTCCAGTGATCTCGTGTGAAAGGAGTCCTAGTGACAGACAGACAGTATAGCACTTAGTTGGCAGTTCGAACCCACCAGTCACTCCACAGGAGGACGATGTCCCATCTGCCTCTGTAAAGATTACGGCCTCAGAAACCCTATGGGGCTGTTCTTCTCTGCCCTGTCAGCTCTCTGGGTATCAGAATCAATTCAGCATCAACGGGTCTCATTGTAGGATGGGTGGAAAGGTGACAAATAAGGGTCTTCATCTCATACTATAATAGCTCCAATACATTGGATACTCTGTTAATTGGTGGGTAACTGAGATGTACAATAGTCCAGTTATCTCTCACTACAACACAGGGAGAGTGTGATTGTGATAGGTAGGTGATAGAAACCCAGAGGTAAAAAGGACCTGCGGGCCGTGTACGTGATTAGGACGTGTCGAATGTATAGGTCAGGTGTCACACTCAGAGTAGCTCATAAGCAAGTTGATTTATAGCAATTCAGATGGACAATAGTGATGATGATGAATATGTGTGCATCCCTCCATTCCTTGCTTTTATTAGGAGGAGGGCAGAGAAGAACGGAGCGAGCTGTGAGTTTTTATTAACTTTTTATGACTGCTTAAGTGTCGATGGCAATGTTCGCTGGGATATTATTCTGTCGTTCTGTTTTTATTTCTATTGATCATTTAGCGCATCACTCTTACCCTGCTAGTTGTAGCACTAGAGGTTAGAAATCATTTTAACTGGACCAACAATGAAGGATTTGTGAAATAATGTATTATAAGTTACAAAATGATGGATCACATTGCAATCTATCTCTTTTCATGTATTTATTGGGACATCATCCACATATCATTCAATTTAATCATTCAGTCATATTAAGGAGGGCTATGCAATCATCACCACAATCTCAGAACATTTTCTACTTTCTCGGACTCGTTGTTATTAGCTCCCCATTCCGACCTCCGCACCTCCCCTGCCATGCCCCTAGACAATTATTAATCCAGTTACTGCCTCTATAGATTTACATATCCTGGGTTTCATATGCAGA